TAGTGGTGTTATATGATTCTGACGTCATGGTAACCGATGACGCCACAATGGTCTGCAAAGCATTGTGATGCGATTTTATTGTAGCTATATCTACCAGGAGATATCACTTGATTTCACCAGAGCGATGTCCCCAGTGGAAGCCGAAGAATGCTGACCACACGTTTTGTTATAATCCTGCTGTCCACCATGTGATGTTGTCAATACATGTCATGACCATATATGGCGTTTGTCAATATTTGTGTTGTCATATGTTATGTTACCGACACACATGGTGTAGTCCATCCATATATATACATAAACACATATCATACATATATTGTTGTCAATAAATCCCATAATCGCTGTAAGTCTAATGTCCATATAACTGATGTAAACTCGGTTTGAAACAGTTGATAGCCACTCAGGAACTTACACCACTCTCCGCCATGATCACGCTGGATAGCCTTACTGGGCGGCTGAGGCACGTACTGAACATGATACATCTGTGATGAAGTGGAAGATAATGGCGATACGATAGTGTGAGACAACGTTTCAAACAAGACATTCGATCAGGAAAACATCCCATTAACATGTAATCCCATCCTGATTGACAGTGTACATGGGCCACACGTGGGGAGGGTCGGTTGTCAGATATCACAGCTGACTCTCTCTCTCTTTCCACGTGTACCCAACTTAACCCTGCTTCATAATAAATATGACAAACCATCATGCTTACTGGTATTAATTGTATGAGCTATGAACACATCAAAACAATGCATGCTAAATCACAATCTATCCTGTAACATTACATGTAACATTGTTTCATGACATGAACCATCCTGTAACATTACATACAACATTGTTTCATGCCATGAACCGTCCTGTAACACTACATACAACATTGTTTCATGACATGAACCATCCTGTAACATTACATACAACATTGTTTCATGACATGAACCATCCTGTAACACTACATACAACATTGTTTCATGACATGAACCATCCTGTAACATTACATACAACATTGTTTCATGACATGAACCATCCTGAAACATTACATACAACATTGTTTCATGACATGAACCATCCTGTAACACTACATACAACATTGTTTCATGACATGAACCATCCTGTAACATTACATACAACATTGTTTCATGACATGAACCATCCTGTAACATTACATACAACATTGTTTCATGCCATGAACCATCCTGTAACACTACATACAACATTGTTTCATGACATGAACCATCCTGTAACACTACATACAACATTGTTTCATGCCATGAACCATCCTGAAACATTACATACAACATTGTTTCATGACATGAACCATCCTGTAACACTACATACAACATTGTTTCATGACATGAACCATCATGTTACACTACATACAACATTGTTTCATGCCATGAACCATCCTGTAACACTACATACAACATTGTTTCATGACATGAACCATCCTGTAACACTACATACAACATTGTTTCATGCCATGAACCATCCTGAAACATTACATACAACATTGTTTCATGACATGAACCATCCTGTAACACTACATACAACATTGTTTCATGCCATGAACCATCCTGTAACACTACATACAACATTGTTTCATGCCATGAACCATCCTGTAACACTACATACAACATTGTTTCATGCCATGAACCATCCTGTAACACTACATACAACATTGTTTCATGCCATGAACCATCCTGTAACACTACATACAACATTGTTTCATGCCATGAACCATCCTGTAACACTACATACAACATTGTTTCATGCCATGAACCATCCTGTAACACTACATACAACATTGTTTCATGCCATGAACCATCCTGTAACACTACATACAACATTGTTTCATGCCATGAACCATCCTGTAACACTACATACAACATTGTTTCATGCCATGAACCATCCTGTAACACTACATACAACATTGTTTCATGCCATGAACCATCCTGTAACACTACATACAACATTGTTTCATGCCATGAACCATCCTGTAACACTACATACAACATTGTTTCATGCCATGAACCATCCTGTAACATTACATACAACATTGTTTCATGCCATGAACCATCCTGTAACACTACATACAACATTGTTTCATGCCATGAACCATCCTGTAACACTACATACAACATTGTTTCATGCCATGAACCATCCTGTAACACTACATACAACATTGTTTCATGCCATGAACCATCCTGTAACACTACATACAGCATTGTTTCATGACATGAACCATCCTGTAACACTACATACAACATTGTTTCATGCCATGAACCATCATGTTACACTACATACAACATTGTTTCATGCCATGAACCATCCTGTAACATTACATACAACATTGTTTCATGCCATGAACCATCCTGTAACACTACATACAACATTGTTTCATGCCATGAACCATCCTGTAACACTACATACAACATTGTTTCCTATGTCTAATCCACCCCAGTACATTTAACAGCTTGTACTGTCTATTTGATTACCCAGGACAACATTATAGGGCATCATGAGTATTGTATTCACTTCAACAATGTCAAAGAGTCACAAAAAAGCAGCAGCGTCCGAGTTTTCAGGATCGGTAATCATTTCCTTGTTCATCTCGAACACAAAACTGACAGGCTGGTTCATTCTAAAATGGCTGTAAATGGCATATTAATAGCTATATACATGTTCAAGCTTTCAAAATATATTTGAGGATATAGTCAAAGCTCAAACATTAGAATCATTTCGATAACATTATTCTGAATCCAGCTGTTGCCATCGGGACCTTCCAAATATCCCCACCTCAAGCCTATCATACATATCCCACAGAGCGATGCAGGATGTGATGATATGAGAATTATATCGTGTCAGTAAGCCTTGATCAACGTCAGATGTAAATATACAGCACCAAACGTGATATCCGCGTTTTACATGGAGATGCCTGTTTGGTTGGTGAATTTCAGAATCTTAGTGTTCATCAAGCCATGTTGTGCTTTGACCATTAATACTTTAATACTATGGCGGTCATGCTTGTCTCGGACAAAACTGCTGTTTTACACTGCTGGCTGTTGTTTTATTGTTAAATGTTTATGTTTAATTTCAAACCGCCCTGGACCCATGCAGTATGACGTGAAGTCCATAACTTCCAACACCCACCATGTGTTCATCTAGTCGGCATTGTTATTTAGCCTTGAGACCAACAATGTTTACAGGTCTCTACAGTGTTGTCACTACCCCTAGTGCTCAGTACCCACACCCTGTGCACTCAAAAGAACCCACTCGTCCGATGGTACATGACCAGATGGTGGAAACACGAACACGTACATACACAAGTGTCAAAACGTGTGGTGTCACCATGGGCAAGTGATTAAGTTCAAATGTTGGGCAAGCGACTAAGTTCAAATGTGCCTCTGTTCACCCAGCGCGGAATGGGTACCCGGTACCCTCTATCCCCATTAGGCAGCTTGGGTTGTATACTCCCCAGGGAGTTGAGAACGATAACTGGAATGCAAACGGATCCACTGATCGGGGAACAAATAAAACCGCATCAGAGGAGATACTAGTACGTGGATACCTGTTGTATAAAAAGGAATATGGTAATATAATGATACCGCATGTAGAGGTACTTTATCACTGTGCTGCAGAATCTATAGGTGACTATTGGACTGAGTGTCCGCGGTACTGTGTATCGGTCTGGAAATGCCTTCACTTCGCACTTGCATCCTATGGTAATTTACTAGCTTCGGGCTCCGTTTCTGGTCGGAAGGTTCAGCCAAACACAAACAATATTGTTATCACGCAAAAGCCGTGTTGCATAATGTTTATGTAGGTATTGGTATGGAATGCAGAAATCCCAGAGAAACAGCGTCCAGGCGCGTGAGAACTGATCGATTGTGGCAGTCTCGTGTTGTAATGAAGTATGCAGGCTCCGTGAGGGAGAAGCCCTGTCTGTAGTCCGGCAGAGAGTACATTGGGCGCCCACTGCTCCTCACAGACAATAACACTGATTAGTGCATAAGGAACAACAGCACATCGTATACCAATCACTCATGCCGCTGCCGTTTATGCTCCATACATGGGGATGTTGTTGCAATACAAGGCTAGCCATGTATCGACTACTGGCACTTGTCTACTCTGTTGACGTGTGGTGTTTTGACTACTTAGGTGATGATTGATTATTATTGTCAGCAATCATCATCATCATCATCATCGTCATCATCATCACCATCATCGTCATCATCATCATTATCATCATCATCATCATCATCATCATCGCCATAATTATCACATTTTCAATGACCAACAACCCACCCCATCTCCCTCTATAAATGCCATGATCATCAATGTTTTATGGATGCTGGAGACTTTGGCAATGGTTATGATTCGTTTGATGATGATAATGATGACGATGACGATGATGATGATGATGATGACGACGACGACGATGATGATGATGATGATGATGATTATGACAACGACGATGATGATTATGATGATGATGACGACGACGATTATTGTCGTTTCCATATCTGCACTTATATAGATATGCTCAAAGAATTGTTTGATTTTGTACCCATATCCATAACAACCAGAGTCATTGTAAAACTAGCTCCTCACGTTTACTCTTTACTCCACACCAAACACCCCCCGGTAACCTGTTGACAGCTCGAGTCACAGATAGTAATATCAAGTAACTCACAACCATCGACAAATACCTAAAACATGTTTCAAACAACCCCAGCACACATCACTACGGGCACGTTCGAGAGTCATCAAGATTACTTCATCTGTGAAGGGCAAGACAATGATGGCAATGACACCATCCGTGGTAAACTTAGCCAGAGTACTGATTTCACAGTTGACCTACATACGTAAGCACTACACAACTTAGGATACCTCGGAGAGCACTCTGACCTGTCTCTAGACGGACTTAAAGTCCTACACAACACATACTTCGAAGCAACACAATTATAGATTCTATGAAATTAGGAAAAAGGAGGTCCTACCTGCAATGCATAACATCCCTTGAAGTATGATGAGGAGGCTAAGGTGCATCATTTCGCTTTAATAACAATGTGCACATTCCAAGATGAAAGTCCTACAACTGCGAACAGTCGGTCACACTCGCGAGCGTCGTGGCTTGTCTAATTGAATGTTGGCAAGCAGGAGGTCGCAGCACTGCGAGAGACGAGGAAGAAGCTCGTTATCCGCCAATCGCTAGCGCAGACGACAAGAGCTCTCGTAGCGAGCCAGCTCTCAGAGCAGACGTCAAATTTTGACGAATTTCTTCTTCTAATCGGTTAATTCAAATGCATCAATGCAACGCCTGGAAGAAAGTTAACCGAATGGAACCACGCTTCAAATTTAAACTAAATGTAGAGGAGAACTGGGTTAACGGCGGAGCTAGATAATATTTTATTTTTGACATATCGAGAGATAATTTCTTAGCTGGTTCAATATATGTGTGATAGTAATAAGATATCTTCGCTCATGCACTTACTGCAACGTTTAATACAAGTTTAATGTATATATTGATTTGTGTGATTCCTTTACGCGTAAAAGTAGTTTAGAGTAAATTGACGTTTCCCGGTCAGAGCAGGTATGTGAAGAACTTGAAATAGATCCTCGGCTGTCCGGCTCCATGCCATTTAAAGTTGATTGTGTATGGTGCTGGTGTGTAAGAATGTGTCTCTTAGCTCTTGTTTTACTGTTTTGTTCTCACGTGACGGGGGGCGGTCGGGTAGCCTAGTGGTTAAAGCGTCCGCTCGTCACGCCGAAGACCCGGGTTCGATTCCCGACATTGGTACAATGTGTGAAGCCCATTTCTGGTGTCCCCCGCCGTGATATTGCTGGAATATTGCTAAACGCGGCGTAAAACCAAACTCACTCACTCACGTGACGGGATATATACCCGAGTGACATGAATATCGGCCTTAAAAAACCGACTCCTGTTTCCAGCGACCGCGTGTTATGTCATGATTCTTTAAATTGGTTCACGGATCCACCGACTATTTATGTGAAATATATTAAAATAACTATCTTAAAAGCACCACTTTTGTATTCCGCCGACTGCAAACATACATATTCCCAGCAATGTGCATACAATGCATTAAACAGAAAGTACAACAAGACCGTCTTCATAAACACTTTATGCATGGCAACGTAATACTTCAAGAACAAAACATACACACCTGACGTAATCACAAAAAAACAGTAAAGCAAAGAATTTTTTTTAAACTCTGCACAATCGGAGATATATTGCTGGATCAACCAAATCTCCAGTTAATAGTCAAATAGCCAATTCTTATCCACTGAATTACCAATCTGAACTGACGTTAAAGACACCATAGAAACTGCCTCGTCCGGTTCATATTTACATCTAAGAAGGTGACAAAAATGTCCACAAGACTTCAACTTTCCAATAGTCAACGTTCCCTCTATGTCGAGCAATATTCCAGTAGCTCCAGTCCTTGCTGTCAACATTCCACAACTTTTGAGGTACAATCGAGCATGCTCTTTCTACGAGCTTTCAAAGAGTGTTATGCGACTCTTACTCTTAACTCAAGGTTCAGTAAAATTGTCAAAACGTTTTGTTGTAGACGGAGTCATCTTTCATAATTTGATACATCAGTGACAATGATGATGTCCGATGCAATTTCGTTTTGTCTAATACCCTATGTTCTCGTGTTTGTTTAGGTGAACCCTTGACGTGCCGTTGCAAGTGTTTGTGACCAGTCACCTGTGGGGCAGGATACCCTTACTATTTCGCGAACCCCTAGTATCATCACAATTTGAGATTCTTTTCATGTAATAAGTGTGAATAATGTATCAGGTATATTCATAAGTGTTCTTCAGGTGAGCTTTAGTTGTATCTTTGATTTTTTTTCCTTGATCTTATTTAACCATTTATACCCCTGGGTGTCCTTACAGTCAGGATAGCTACGTAGTTCCTATATAGTCTCACACATAGGAAAAATTATATAATATGAAATGCTATTGTGTACATTTCTTTCGTTTGTGGGAACTATATATTGTTGTGATAGAGAAGGTAGCACTTATTTAAATTTTACGTCAAAGCCAGAGAACAATTAGTCGCGATTACCCGAAACAGATTCAGGTACATCGTAAATATCACAACACTGGTGATAATTATATGAATGGAGGAATGACTTCAACTTTCCAATAGTCAACGTTCCCTTCATGTCGAGCAATATTCCTGCAGCTCCAGCTCTTGGTGTCTACATTTCGCAACTTTTGACGTACACTCGAGCATGATCTTTCTGCCAAGATTTAAAAGAGCGTCACACCACTCTTGCTCAGAAGCCGTTTGACATGAAGTTACAACATTCGTGGCCTCAATGTGGCTTTCAGAAGGTTTTATGTGGAGGAGATTTCCAAATTTGACGCATCAGTGAAAATAATCATACATGGATAGGATATGCAGGATATGCTCACCTTTTCGCGAACACCTGTCATCATTACTATAGTGATTCATAGACACATGCTCATGACGGGGCACATTCCGCCCAATAACCCCTATAGGAAGGCAGGCACGGACAAATGGGGGCACATTCTGGCCAGGAACCCCTACGGGAAGGCAGGCACGGACAAATGGGGGCACATTCTGTCCAGGAACCGCTACAGGAAGGCAGGCACGGACAAATGGGGGCACATTCTGCCCAGGAACCCCTATGGGAGGCAGGCACGGACAAATGGGGGCACATTCTGCCAAGGAACCCCTACGGGAAGGCAGGCACGGACAAATGGGGGCACATTCTGTCCAGGAACCGCTACAGGAAGGCAGGCAGGGACAAATGGGGGCACATTCTGCCTAGGAACCCCTACGGGAAGGCAGGCACTGACAAATGGGGGCACATTCTGCCCTGGATCCCCTACAGGAAGGCAGGCACGGACAAATCGGGGCACATTCTGCCCTGGAACCCCTACGGGAAGGCAGGCACGGACAAATGGGGGCACATTCTGCCCTGGATCCCCTACAGGAAGGCAGGCACGGACAAATGGGGGCACATTCTGCCCAGGAACCCCTATGGGAGGCAGGCACGGACAAATGGGGGCACATTCTGCCCAGGAACCCCTATGGGAGGCAGGCACGGACAAATGGGGGCACATTCTGCCCAGGAACCCCTATGGGAGGCAGGCACGGACAAATGGGGGCACATTCTGCCCTGGATCGCCTACAGGAAGGCAGGCACGGACAAATGGGGGCACATTCTGCCCAGGAACCCCTATGGGAGGCAGGCACGGACAAATGGGGGCACATTCTGGCCAGGAACCCCTATGGGAGGCAGGCACGGACAAATGGGGGCACATTCTGGCCAGGAACCCCTATGGGAGGCAGGCACGGACAAATGGGGGCACATTCTGCCCAGGAACCCCTATGGGAGGCAGGCACGGACAAATGGGGGCACATTCTAGCCAGGAACCCCTATGGGAGGCAGGCACGGACAAATGGGGGCACATTCTGTCCAGGAACCCCTATGGGAGGCAGGCACGGACAAATGGGGGCACATTCTGCCCACGAACCCCTACAGGAAGACAGGCATGGACAAATGGGGGCACATTCTGCCCTGGAACCCCTACAGGAAGGCAGGCACGGACAAATGGGGGCACATTCTGTCCAGGAACCGCTACAGGAAGGCAGGCACGGACAAATGGGGGCACATTCTGTCCAGGAACCGCTACAGGAAGGCAGGCACGGACAAATGGGGGCACATTCTGCCCAGGAACCCCTATGGGAGGCAGGCACGGACAAATGGGGGCACATTCTGCCTAGGAACCGCTACAGGAAGGCAGGCACGGACAAATGGGGGCACATTCTGTCCAGGAACCGCTACAGGAAGGCAGGCACGGACACATGGGGGCACATTCTGTCCAGGAACCCCTACAGGAAGGCAGGCACGGACAAATGGGGGCACATTCTGCCCTGGAACCCCTACAGGAAGGCAGGCACGGACAAATGGGGGCACATTCTGCCCTGGAACCCCTACAGGAAGGCAGGCATGAAAAACTAGGGGCACATTCTTCGGGAAGACAAGCTGGAGAGGAGTACCCTTTGTGGGGCACCATCAGATCTAACACTGTGCTGCCTTGGCATCCAATGCAGCAGCCAATCAATGAATATAAATGCTTCAATATCTAAATGTTTCAGGACACCAAATTGTTATAGCGTCAAATGGTGTGACTCTCGGGATACACATCACTGACGATATCAGGTGACATTTGACGTGTGATGGAATTATCCGCCCATGGATTACATACCCCACGTTCTCGGGTTCTACCGTTGTGACTGACGTTTCGTAATGTCATTTGTTCATTAATCAATGAACTTACAGTCAGGTTTATACTCCGTGAAGCGTGCGTCCTCGAGATTTGACATCCGACTGACGCTAACAGCCCTGATACGTAAACTCAAAATTGAGTTAATGGTGATCTTCTCGCAGCCAGATTCAGTTGATTCGACTTCAACAATTGAATCGTATGCATCACTTTGCCACGTCAAGTCACAGCTTCATGTACAGCGGGACAATCTATAGCTTGACGTGTTTGTGTGATAGTATTACATTTAGTTATTTAGTTATAATGTTATTTACCAAAATACAATTTTGTTCTTAAAAACGTTTAAACAACGACTTAAAGATATGTATATTGCCAAGGCTGGCCAGCTGACATAAGACGTTCAACAAATCTTCATGCCTAGTCTATGTTTAAGATGGATATAATGCTAGATATATATTTAACTACTATTCCATCTGTATGTTAACGCAGATGTTTAACGTTCAGATGTGGTATCCATACTCTTAATATACACTTATACAGACATTCCAAAGATAATAACAGGGATTTGTACTTACTGCAAATGTTACCAAGTAGATAAATACCATGAGTTATTGATATGTCCAGTATATAAAGAACCAAATACCTGCCTCACTGTTATTATACGTATCCAACACAACGAGAATTTATACAGTTATTGAACAGCAAAAATAGCCACATTCTTCTCCGACTTGCAATTGTTGTTAATAACATATTTGAATGAAAGATGACACATTGAATATTATTACGACTCAAATGTGTACATCTATTCAGATCCAATATACAAGTGGTGCTCCACGAAGAATTTTCCCACAACAAAATGTCATTTTACAATTGCACTCATGACCTCATATACGAAATAAATCTTGTTTACCAAATGT